AGCCCTGGCTGTTTTTGGAAGCAGTTTATTGATGGATAGTGTATTTAGTGAGATTTCCTTGTACACGATTATAAGATGAGGAGCTTTTTTCCCTATGCTGGTTGGGGGAAAGAACCTCATCTTGTATTCAAGTAAATGCAGTCATTTTTCCTTACTTTGTGCATTAATTCCAATTGAAAACTAGCGTATATATTCTTTTGATAACGTTGATATCCTGTGACTATTGACACTATCTCCCACAACATTCTCATTTAATAAACTAAAGAAATACAGATCAGATGAAAATACTGTAAGGTGGATACATAGGTGGTTGGATCATCATGCTCAGCAAGGAGTCATCAATGGCTCAATGTCTAGTTTGGAGGAAGTATCAAGTGGGGTTTTCCAGGAGCCTGTCCCAGATCCAGTATTGTTCAGCATCTTTAATGATTTGGATGATGGGATTGAGTCCGTGCTTAGCAAATTTTTGGATGACATCAAGTTGGGTAAAGTAACTGACACCCTGGAAGGCAGGGGTAGGATTCAGAATGACCTGAATAAACTGGGAAAATGGTCTGCAGTCAATCGGTTGAGATTCAACAAGTCCAAGTCCTGCATTTTGGATGGAATAATTGCATGCACAAAATACAGACTGCAAGACTTCACCCTTGAAGGGTTACAGTAGACCATAAGCTGAATATGAGTTAACAGCGTGCTTTTGTTGCCAAAATAGACAACAGCATACTGGATTGTATTAGAGGGGTGTCGCTTGCAAATTAAGGTAAGTGACTCACTCTGTTCAGCACTTGTGAGGCCTCATTTGGAGTACTGTGCCCAGTTTGGGGCTCCACACTTCATGAAGACCGGACAGATTGGAAGGAGTCCAGTACAGTGACCAAAATGATTTGGGGCCTGGGAAACAAGACTTATGAGGACATGCTCAAAAAAGTAAGATTGTGTAGTTTGGAGAAGAGAAGACTGAAGGGGTTTTTGGTAACAGTCTTCATATACCTGGAAGGTGATTATAAAGAGGATGGGGAATAAACTGTTATGTTCACATAGCAGGTTGGTGTAGGAGCAATAGCCTCAGACTGCAGTACAGAGGAAATTTGGGTTGAAATCAGGAAGTTTCCTCATTATGAGGGTGGTCAATCACTGTAACAGGCTACTTATAGATATTGTGGAATCTCCATCCTTGAAAATTTTCAAGAGCAGTTTCTTCTTTCATATGGCTGACTTGGACCAACAATTATAAGTGCAATTTAAGATTAGTTAAACAGTCTAATGCTCTTGAGGAAAGGGAATGTATCTCTGCAATGTCACCATCAAATTTGTATAGAGTGCATAGTGTTGTTATGTGGTTCATAGTTTGATCTGGATTGCCACAGTCGCATCTTGCAGCACTCCTAATAGACCATTTGTGCATCAAGTTACTGCAGTGGCCATGCCTGGTTCAGATCCAGTTTAGAGCCTTCCATGTTTTCCATGGAAGGTCAAAACCAGGAGTCTTTATTGTTGGGTCGGAAATTAGATGTTTACTCCGAATGGTGTTTCATGCCATGCTTTCCTCTAAGGTGCTGCACTGTTTTGTTCTACAAGGGGTTCTACACATGTCAACAAAGGTTTCTGGAAATCAAGCAGTGAGCTGGGAGGTTCTTTAAATATCTATGGATGGGGAGGTCTTGGTTGTCATTCATGTGGACAACCTCTCTGTATGTTGCTTTGTTGTGGCAAATGTCTGGAGCAGTAATATCGGCCAGCACTGGTTACCATTGAATCGGTGTAGATTTCAAGGTTCTGGTGATGGTATGCAGGAAACTTGAACAGGTTGGAGAGATGCTTGGCTGGGATGGCGTAGTTGGGGGGAGATCCTGACTTGAGCAGGGAACTGGAGTAGATGACTTTGAGGTCACTTCAGCCCTAATTTCCCGTGATCCAGTTGGAACCAGTAATCTCATAAACATTGACAGATATGTGAGTGGTGCATTACCCAAATGTTTGTCTCGATATAGAATAATAGCGACTAATATTGATTAGTTTCTGCTATGAATATTTACAAAAAAAGCAACATATTTTGCAAACCATCAGCAATGTGTTTGAGCAACTGCAATAGCTATAATGATTCATGGTTTTTCTCTCATATGCCATATGTTTAGCCTACAGCATGTGTAGTAACACATACCGAGATGTACCCCTAGGACTGGGGGCTGATTAGACACATACTCCCCGTTTCATGAAAGCTTTTAAATGACATTTTATCCAGTGAGGGGTGTTGGGTAAAAGGCAAGTTCATTGAATGCAGGAGACAGAAAATAAAGAGAAGAGTTTTGAATTCCACCAGTTTGCTTCCCTTGATTTTTTTAAAATTTTTTTTAAAATAAAAAAAATAAATGAATGAGTGCTAAGCACATGCATCTAACAACAGAATTTATTCATGTAGAATACACATCAAGGAGGATTTTTGCGTCTTTAATTTGTATGTACATTTCTTGGGATCCCCTGTGGTCCAGGATACCTTGCATACTGTTACTGAAGCTCCTCTTTAAATGTGTCCATTTGGTTTCAAAATGTCACTTTCTCAGGCAGCTGTAGCTGTTTTTTCATGCTGTATAATTTTTATCATTACATTACCCGATACGGCTACAGTCTCCCAGACCTTCCAATTGTTCATATCTGCCAAAAAGTGAATACACATTAAATGAGACCTTTATACTTTCAGCATAAGAAAACTTTTGTGCAGTGTATATAATATGAATGAAATTGGTTTTTATCAAATTTGTTTTAGTTTGGTTAAGAAGAAAACATCTATTCCTGCTACCTTAAATACAAGTATGAGCAGTTTTGTTGGTCCTTCCAAACTTCACATGCGACTCTGGGATTTGCTGTATCATTTCCTTGGGGTGTATAGTGGAATGGTGGATTTCTAAAATGGAAAGCTGAATTGTAGGAAAAACCCCTCCTGGACGGGGGATGTAGATCTCTAGTTTGACTGAAGCCAAAAAAATATTGCCTGTTTTGCATTTGGCTTGGAAAGTGAATTCTAATGAAGGGGAAATGGATGGCAGTGTGTCCCATTAGAGTCTCACTGGGGACTGATGTGGTTTGAGAGCCAAGAATTGTTGATAAGTTCAGAGAAATAGGTCTCAAACATTTCTCTGCCTGATAACTGAAGGGTTTATTTTCTTAGTTAATCTCAATGTTAACATGCTGGTTTTGCTACCACTACTTGCACTGAGTAGTAACTTACTTTGGCTTGTTCTGTATGCCCATACAGATGAGTTTAAGAGACTTTGCAGACATGCTTTTGGTGGGTTTAGAGATGGGCAGGTAGCGAATTAATGTAATGTTGACTCTAGTCTTATAATATACCAGGCAGCCCTGCTGTGCCAAGGTACTGGGGGCTTGCACTGCTTCAGGGGTAGGGCTGGTGCAAGGTTCCAGCAGAGAGGTGTGATCAACCTGGAGCTAGGGCCAGGGGGGAAACTTGGAGACAAATTGTGCCTTTGCAAATCACAATGACTTCCTGACCATTTCTTGGGGGCAGTGCAGCTATGTACATCCCAGATTGTGTGGATTTTGGTAAAGTTGTGAAATAGTGTAGTTCCACTCAAATCAAAGGGCCTACTTGTAGGGTAAAAATCAGGCCATAAAGTCACATAGTTACTGCACCTGGATTTTGTACGGGCCGCCTCCCGATCCCGTCCATGTCGCCATGTGTGAGCCGGGAGCGATATGCGGACCCGTCTTTGCGCACGCAGGCTGTGGCCAGCAGCCCGGGCACGTGGGGTCAGAGGAGACTGTGCGGCGGCAAGGCACCTTCGGGCTAGAATTAGTCACAGAGGCGTAGTGGTTGATTTAAAGATTGTTTACTTACACCGAAGATGGTCGCGGTGCAGGCAGGAAAACTTGCTTGAGTTGCGGTTACAGACAGGAAAGAAGAGAGGCGGACAAGAGTTCTAAACTCGCGAACTCTAGCCCAATCCGGCTGAAGGCTCTAAACTGCGAGCCCGTCGTGTCAACCGAAGAAAGTACTCATACAAAAGAGCTCTGAATAGACTCACACGAAGTTTGCTAGGCTCCGTGGAACTTGTGCTCTGAGGTAGTCTGGTCGTCTGAACAACTATGTCAGTTGTTCCAGCTGGCAAGAAATAGACTCACACGAAGTTTGCTAGGCTCCGTGGGTCCTCTTTTTGCGCGCAGGGAGGGATACGTCTAGGAATCTATCGGCGACGGGGAGAGGCTAGAGGCTGGTCAGACCTCTGTTGCCTGCTTGAAATGCGCTGGGTCCAGGAGTCCTCCAACTTGGGCGGAAACCACTCAAGCCTTTTATACAGCTAGCAAGCCAATCGCTAGCCGCCACGTGTGAATAATTTAGAACTGGCCAATGGTGGGGCACAAATTAGAATACGAATGGCGGGAACTCTTTGCAACGAGCATTTCTGTGCTGCAACAAAGAAATGCACCCTGGAAAGAAAGCTACTGGTGGCGGGAATTCTTTTGCACCGGGGTTCTCTTCTGCAGCAGAAAACTCCACCGTGCAAAGAAGCTGCAATTTAGCGGGAACAATTTAGCAGTGCCGAAGCACACAAAAACAAAAATCACACCCTTTGGGTTGTGACAGATTTATCCATAGTTTGCATTGTGTCTGTTACCTGTACATACTGGTGTAGCTCCATTTCTGGCATGTTAGATTAACCAGGGAGAGAGCTTTTCAGAAGCAAGATGAAACAGTCAACCCTTAATATAATTTGTTCTGCCTTTGAGACATGCTGTATTAAAGAGGGAGGAGCTACAGGGAAGAGTCATCTGCTCCTATCTTCAAGAGATGATGAGAGTAGAGGACTGTTGTAGCATAAAATAACAATTTAAAAGTAACTCTTCAAAAATTGTTTTACAGTGGGGTAGAGTTAGCCATAACAAGGTACATTATCCATGATTTCTTTTGGTTGAAAGATATTCTAGCATAATTGCCAGAGTCCTACCCTTGTGCCAGTATTGAATTGTTCTTTTTTTCTTTCCAGGATGAAAAGAACCAAGTCTTAACAACAAACATTTGGTTACAAATGGTAAGTTTTGAAATAATCTTTTTTATGGCCTTCAAATGTATGTGTACAAATACTTTCAAATTTAAGGGGTGCACCCTCACATTGCTTCACTCATAGGGAGTTCTAAGAGATGTGTTATCACATTGGAAGGATTTATAAAGTCATTGGAAGTGTTTCACTCATCTGAAACTCAAGATTACATTGGTCTTCTGAAAGTGTCAATATTTGGGATTCCTGTACAGTAGCTACAGCTGCATGTCACTACACATTACAACAAATCCAGCACCTTTTCTTAAATACTTTTGGAAGTGAAGGAATGCAAAATATAATTTCATATATTTATTTCCATATTTTACTAACCCTCCAGATGGTACTTTTATAGAGGGTGGGCTTATCCTAAAGTAGTTATTTATTCCTGTGATCTGCTGCCATCGCTCTGACTGAGGACATCAGCCTGTCTGTGTTTTGTTCCGTTTTCAACCTGTATCCATAAAGAACTGTGGGGGGGTTTTAATCTGATGGCCATGGCTACAAGTGCTATTACTTGCTGTGTTCTTTGTTTTAAAACATAGTGCAGCTTCAAAGGCAACTATAAAAAGAAAAAGCATTCTTTAAGGTTAAATTTCAAAATTCTCTACCTGTACTGCCCGAAGTAGGCTGTTGAGCATGTTTGTCTACCTGATTGTTTTCCAGTTGAAAGGTAGAGTATATATGAAAAAAATTGTAGCCATATTTTTAACATGGATTCATTTTTTAACAGAATGGTCGAGCTCGGCATTTGTCACTGAATTCTAGATTTTGTGCTTGTGTCATTTAATGACTGAAATGAGAAATTCTAAATGACACCGGTGCTGAATCTGGCTTCGTATAATCTAATTCTTGACACTGTCATGGGGACAAAAGTGCTAATAGGTTTCACTCCCATTTTTACAGTGCAGTCATATAATAGGATTTTCAAAGAGCCATGTGAGGGTTGTCCATTCCAGTTTATTTTGATCTGACTTGTAGTGCTTTCTGTTAGCTAGGCATTAATGACTGTCATTCTAAGTTAGCCAGCTGAAGCAGGATAATGGGACATGGTCTTAGCTGAAAGAGCAGACAGGATGAAGGTTGACTGAAAGCAAGGAGAATTTTCCACATACTTTGGCACTTTTACTTCCAGCTTACATCACGTCTTTTAAAATTTTTATTTTGAAACAATAATACATAATCCTTATTTGTTTCAGCCACACAGCTTGTGGGAACCATCTTTGCATATAGCATGCTATAACTGGTACTGTAACTAGCCCTCCTTTGTGCTCTATAGATTAAAGGCAGGCTAGATAAGAGAGGAAGATTGCAGCTTGGCTTTTAGTATGGAAGATTGTGTTATTTGGGGGAGACCTAGCACTCTAAGCAGAGCTCCCTGTCAGAGGGAGCCACATGACTGTTCCCTCTTATTCTCCTGCCTAGTCATATGGGTTCCTAATGGTGCTATATCCATAGGTAAGTGCTTCCTTTGAATGGAGTGAAGGTCAGTAGCTTTCCCTCCACCTTGTAGCAGAGGGGAGAGGGACTTGACTTTCTCTTCATCCCATCTGTAATAGGGAAACATCTGGTTGGACTAAGTCACATTTATGGAATGGTCTTACTGCTGACCGTAGTTTTACTGTTACAGCTGGGCTGCTTTAGTAGAAATTTTACTCCTCTCTTTTTTTAATCAAAATGATAAACTCTTTCAGTTTAAACATTTTCTGTCTTTGTCATTTTGCTGTAGCTTTTATGAAATGCCTCTCCCCCTCACAGACCTTAGGGAGCAAATGAAAGATTATTTTGGTGACCTACAGAGGATAGCATGGCTGTTCCATCTATTCACATAGAAATGCTGACAGGGAGGAAGCAGTCAGTGCATACTGTTTACAGACAAGTTTTACAATAAGATTAAAACTGTCAAACATAATATGTTTTCAGTGCTGAGTTTCAATGACAGCAGTCACTCTGATTTCTAAGCACAGATTAAAAGACAACAATTCATTCTCCGGCAGCTATCATTTTTCTGTTCCCTCCCCTGTTCCTTATCTTTGAGTTCTCTTCTACAGGAAGTCCTGATTTTATTGCATTTTCAGATTTGTATCTTTTGATTTATTTGTCTTTGTATTCACTTCATCTGCAATAGGGAAGATACCAGTAGTGAGATCAGTTGATTTAATCATATCTCTGTCTGCTGCTCAAGGCCAATGTACAGATTTTAAAGACTATGGAATATGGGTAAAAGCAGTTAAAATGTAAGCCTTTGTTTATGGGTAATCTGTTTATATTGGTCAGGTTCAAAGACCATTGTAATCAGTGGTTGTCTTATTATAATACTATCTTGTTTTCAATAAAAGTCATCCTTTTTTACTTCACTTTATTGTCCAGTTGCACTGAAATCTTCTTACATTTCTGCTTACAAGTACAGATATATATCAAATATCTTATATGTTTTATCCATCATCCAAATATCTATTTGCTAAATTAGTTTTGCAGGTAGAGAGTGGGAATATAAACCAGGAATTTACATGAACAACTTTTGTTCATGGGCAGTCTTCCTGAAGATCCCCACCCTCCTCCTGACCATGGAGACAGTCCAGCAATAGTCCTGTATATGCTATGGGTTCCAGCAGGGACCTAAACTGGCCACATGGCTGCAGTCTCACAGAAGTGATCTTAAACCTCTCCTTTGTTGTTCCCTGACCTCATCTGCCTTAAATCTTTCTTGGCTGCAGTAGAAAAGTAACTGCAGAGTTTAAAAAAAAAAATGTATGTCTAACTTCTGTGTGTACTTTGTGATAAACATGCCTTGGCTGGCTGTGCACAAAACTGCATGTGTTAGCTTGAACCTGTGACCCAGTTAAAGTAAGAAATTCTGAGGGTTTTTTCCCCCCCTAGTTTGGACTTCATTTTAATGTGTAGATTATTTAATGGATTGTTTTTTGTTCCATTTACCATCATATCCTGTTTATTAGGCCCGTGCGAAGTGGCTGGTATTCGCTTTGGATTCAGATTTGGCTGATTTGGGGGACAGTGATTCGAATCACTGTCCTGAATTGATTCGGCCGAATCAGCCAAGCCCGGCCCATCCCCCGCCCTTTGGACTTCATTTTAATGTGTAGATTATTTAATGGATTGTTTTTTGTTCCATTTACCATCATATCCTGTTTATTAGGCCCGTGCGAAGTGGCTGGTATTCGCTTTGGATTCAGATTTGGCTGATTTGGGGGACAGTGATTCGAATCACTGTCCTGAATTGATTCGGCCGAATCAGCCAAGCCCGGCCCATCCCCCGCCCCTCTGCCAGCCTGGCAATGGCTGCCCCGCCTGCCCTAGGTCCCGGCACTTGTTAAAAAATAGCTCCGATGCTCACTGGATGCTGCCAGGTGGGGGGTGATCCCTGCTGCCCCTGAAGCCCCGAGGCCACTGCAGGAGTGGAGAGTCCTGGGGCTTTTCTTGGGTTTTTTTCCTTAAAGGGCCAGAGCTGGCCTGGGTGGGGCACCCATTGGAGGGCTGGGGGAGTGAGGGAGGGTCGGGGGGCTTGTGGCAGAGTCCCCCATGCAGCATGGGGCAGTGGGGGGCAGCAGGGATCACCCCCCACCTGGTAGCACCTGGTGAGCACCGGGGTTTTGTTTTGTTTTGTTTTTTTTAAAGTACTGAGCTGGGGCGGGCAGGGCAGCCATGGAGGGGCTGGGGGGCAGGGGGGGTGGCCGGGGA